CAGAGGGAGAGGGAAACTTCAGAAGTTCCCCCTGTCCCATTTGGAGGGTTTTGTAGCGTATTGCGCAATCGCGTCCGCCATTAACGAATCGATTCGTTATTGTTTCGAAATTGTTTCGTAATTTTTGAAATTTCGTAAATATCGAACTTTTTTAAAGAAAAATTTCGGAATTCTTTTAAAAAACGAAACGCAAAAACCCCCTAAAAACGAATCGAGTTTAGAAACAATTTTTTCCGTGGTTGCCCAGCCCAGATAGATAGATAGATAGATAGATAGATAGATAGATAGATATTGGATGAGCCTTGAAAGAAACATGTGGCTACATAGGCCCTGTGTACCATTTTCCAGAAAACTGGTAATTTGAATAGGAAGGGAAAGCCAAACCTTCCTTCACTATTATCATTATTCTGACTGCTCTTGATCTCATCCTAACAAATGCGGAGGACCTGATCGATGCAGTTGAAGTGGTTGGATCCTTAGGGGCAAGTGACCATGTGCTCCTGCAATTTGAGGTACAAAGGAAGGCCGAAACGAAGACAAGTCAAACCCGCATTTTGGACTTTAGGAGAGCTGATTTCCAAAAAATGAAGGAAACACTGAGCAGCATTCCGTGGACACAGATACTAAAAGACAAGGGAGTTACGGATGGATGGGAATTTCTCAAGAGTGAAATACTCAAGGCGCAATTGCAAACCGTGCCAACAAAGAGAAAAAATAGAACAAGTGCAAAGAAGCCAGAATGGATGTCCAAAGAACTTCTAACTGTGCTAAGACACAAAAGAGACATGCACAAGAAGTGGAAAAAGGGAGAAATCACCAAAGAAGAATTCAAACAAATAGCCAACACCTGTAGGGAAAAGGTCCGCAAGGCTAAAGCACAAAACGAGCTCAGGCTTGCCAGGGACATTAAAAACAATAAAAAGGGATTCTTTCTTATGTCAGTAGAAAAAGGAAAAACAAGGAGGCGATAGGGCCTCTTCGAGGAGAAGATGGGGCAATGCTGACAGGGGATAGGGAAAAGGCAGAACTACTTAATGCCTTCTTTGCCTCGGTCTTCTCACAAAAAGAAAGTCATCTTCAACCTCAGCAAGATGGAGTGGATGAGGGATTTGAGGACATCCAACTCCCAAATTGGGAAACAAGTCGTCCAGGAATACCTGGCCGCTCTAAATGAGTTCAAGTCCCCAGGGCCAGATCAACTACACCCCAGAGTATTGAAGGAACTAGCGGAAGTCATTTCGGAACCATTGGCAACCGTCTTTGAGAGTTCTTGGAGAACGGGAGAAGTTCCAGCAGATTGGAGGAGGGCCAATGTGGTCCCAATCTTCAAGAAGGGAAAAAAGGACGACCCAAACAACTACCGTCCGGTCAGCCTCACGTCGATACCAGGCAAGATTCTGGAAAAGATTGTTAAGGAAGTGGTCTGCAAACACTTAGAAACAAATGCGGTCATCGCTAATAGTCAACATGGATTTATCAAAAACAAGTCATGCCAGACTAATCTGATCTCTTTTTTTTGATAGAGTTACAAGCTGGGTAGATGCAGGGAATGCCGTGGATGTAGCGTACCTGGATTTCAGTAAGGCCTTCGACAAGGTCCCCCATGACCTTCTGGCAAGGAAACTAGTCCAATGTGGGCTAGGCAAAACTACGGTGAGGTGGATCTGTAATTGGTTAAATGGACGAACCCAGAGGGTGCTCACCAATGCTTCCTCTTCATCCTGGAAAGAAGTGACAAGTGGAGTGCCGCAGGGTTCCGTCCTGGGCCCGGTCCTGTTCAACATCTTTATTAATGACTTAGATGAAGGGTTAGAAGGCAGGATCATCAAGTTTGCAGACGACACCAAATTGGGAGGGATAGCCAATACTCCGGAGGACAGGAGCAGGATTCAAAACGATCTTGACAGATTAGAGAGATGGGCCAAAACTAACAAAATGAAGTTCAACAGTGACAAATGCAAGATACTCCACTTTGGCAGAAAAACGAAATGCAAAGATACAGAATGGGGGACCATGCCTGGCTCGAGAGCAGTACGTGTGAAAAAGATCTTGGAGTCCTCGTGGACAACAAGTTAAACATGAGCCAACAATGTGATGTGCGGCAAAAAAAGCCAATGGGATTTTGGCCTGCATCAAGAGGAGCATAGTGTCTAGATCTAAGGAAGTAATGCTACCCCTCTATTCTGCTTTGGTTAGACCACATCCCTGGAATATTGTGTCCAATTCTGGGCACCACAATTCAAGAGAGATATTGACAAGCTGGAATGTGTCCAGAGGAGAGCGACTAAAATGATAAAAGGTCTGGAGAACAAGCCCTATGAGGAACGGCTTAAGGAGCTGGGCATGTTTAGCCTGAAGAAGAGAAGGCTGAGAGGAGACATGATAGCCATGTATAAATATGTGAGAGGAAGCCACAGGGAGGAGGGAGCAAGCTTGTTTTCTGCTTCCTTGGAGACTAGGACGCGGAACAATGGCTTCAAACTACAAGAGAGGAGATTCCATCTGAACATGAGGAAGAACTTCCTGACTGTGAGAGCCGTTCAGCAGTGGAACTCTCTGCCCCGGAGTGTGGTGGAGGCTCCTTCTTTGGAAGCTTTAAACAGAGGCTGGATGGCCATCTGTCAGGGGTGATTTGAATGCAATATTCCTGCTTCTTGGCAGGGGGTTGGACTGGATGGCCCATGAGGTCTCTTCCAACTCTTTGATTCTATGATTCTATGCTGAGATGCTGATGATGAGAACTTAAGAATTATGCATTATTATATGGGCAAAAAAATAACAACATGCTCTAGTTAGTTCTTAGGAGCATAAAACTCTAAATGAATGTGAAAATAATTATTGGAGCATAATCTTATATATGTTTACTTATAAACAAGACCCATGTAGAATGGCAAACACCCAGGTTATGGCTAATTGCAGTCCCTGCCCCCCCCCCCCCTTTAAATTCATACTTTATTGCTTCAGTTAAGTGAAACAGCTCTCCCAGAAGCACACTCCAATGATGGGTGTGTCTTTTACACAAACACAACACACATACTTCCTTGCCACACAGAGTGCATCCACACTGACAAATTAATGTATTTTGACACACCTTGAACTGCCACTGAACTGGGAGGTCCAACTTTACATGATATTTAGCCTTCTCTGCCAAAGATAAATGTTGCCTTTCTGAGCTACAGTTAGCATTGAGCTATGGTTGTGAAGGTACACCAAACTACATTCATTCTACAATATAGATGAGGCCCGGGCAAACTTGGCCCCTCCTTCCAGGTGTTTTCGACTTCAACTCCCACAATTCCTAACAGCCTCAGCCCCCTTCCTTTTTCCCCTCAGTCGCTTAAGCAGAAAGGGCCTGAAGTTGTTAGGAATTGTGGGAGTTGACGTCCAAAACACCGGGAGGGCCCCAGTTTACCCATGCCTGGTATAGATACACCCAAATTCACTAAACAACTACCTGGGACAAGGAAGCCACATGACATGCATTTTCCAGTACAGTTTCAGCATCTAGTATGGTGAGTGAAAAGAAAAAGAAAGGAATAAGGATTGTGCTGTCGAAGGCTTTCATGGCTGGAATCACTGGGTTGCTGTGAGTTTTCCAGGCTGTATGGCCATCTTCCAGAAGCATTATCTCCTAATGTTTTGCCCACATCTATGGCAGGCATCCTCAGAGGGTGTGAGGTCTCTTGGAAACTAGACAAGGGAGGTTTATAAATCTGTGGAATGTCCAGGATGGGAGAAAGAATTCTTGTCTGTTTGAGGAAAGTGTGAATGTTGTAATTGGCCTGCTTAATTAGTATTTGATGGCCTTGCAGCTTCAAAGCCTGGCTGGATGCTGCCTGAGGGAACAAAGGGGGAACAAAATTCCCAACAAAAGATTCCTCCAGGCAGCAACCAGCCAGGTTTTGATGCTGCAAGGCCATTAATGCTAATTAATGTGACCATTTGCAACATTCACGCTTGCCTCAAGCAGTCAAGAGTTTCCCAGTTTCATCAGACTGGCCCCCTCCCTCCTGTCTTTCAGAAAGAAACTAAAAACCTGGTTGTGGGATCGAGCATTTGAACAGTAGCAGCAAAAATTGGGATAAGACTCAATGTGATATGTATGACAGTGGACTGTCCCTGACAAGGATTTTTAAACTCATTTTTAAAATCAAATGTTTTTAATGTAATGTATTTTGATGATCTTTAAATGTATATATGACTGTGGCTCGGGAGCCCCCAGAAGTGGTCACAGGTTTGAATCTGGGAAGTGGTGTGAGCTTCCACTGTCAGCCCCAGCTTCTGCCAACCTAGCAGTTTGAAAACATGCAAATGTGAGTAGATCAATAGGTACTGGTCTGGTGGAAAGGTAACGGTGCTTCATGCAGCCATGCTGGCCACATTACCTTGGAGGTGTCTATGGACAATGCCAGCTCTTTGGCTTAGAAATGGAGATGAGACCCACCCCCAAGAGTGGGACACGACTGGAAACTTTTACCTTTATGACTGTGGCTAGCGCTCAAATGAGTGCTTGTCGTAAAGTTGACCTGAGCCACTTCCCCCCATCCCAGGGATGAGAAGGATGGGGTACAAAATAAATAGATAAAATAAATATAAAATAAAATATAAAAATAAAAATAAAATAGATTGATAAATAAATAAAGTAAAATAAAATAAATTATCTCCTGACGTTTCGCCTGCATCTATGCCGGGCATCCTCAGAGCTTGAGATGACATTTTCTCTGGAGAGCTCCTCTCCTTTTCTTTCCCAATGCCTTCAAGACACAATGATTGGAAATGGGGTGGGGTCGTTTTGTGGGGCATAAAATGAGATTCTGGTAGGGTGATGGTCTTCATTGTGGCACAGGGCGCCTCCCCATTCAGGGTATTAATCCCGCCGGTGGCTGCCCCCCCCCCCCCCCCCCCCACTCACGACACTACCTTCCTCCTCCTCCTGCTGCTGCTGCTGTGATGGGCTAGCTATTAGGCTTTGCTTTTGGGGGGCCCCAAGGCTTCCCCACCTGACGACGGGTCCCAGCTGCAGGATATGGAGCAGGAGGACCAGGGGCCGGTCCCGGCTGAGGTCGCGGTGGACGAAGACCAGGCTGAACTGGACCAGGACGCAGGGCAGGAGGGCGAAGAGCAGCGTCAGCGACTGCCAGATGCGGTCCCCGCCCGAGCGGTAGGTGCTGCTCAGGTACAGCGCGCACGCCGTCTCCGCCACGAAGAGGAAGAGCGAGACCAGGACCGAGCCCGGGAATTTCATCCTCGCGCCCTGGCTCCGGTCTGCTCCGCGGCTCAGGAAGGGGGCCCGGGAGGAAGAAGAGGAGGAGGAGGACCCCCGCCGGCGCCCATGGCTGGGCCCCGGAACCAGGCCAGGGAGGGCCGGCAGGGGGCGGGCTTGCGGCAGATGCGGCGCCGGCCGCCCAATGGGGCGAGGCGCTCCGCTTGCCTTGATCCCCGCCTCGGAGGGATGCGGCTGCCAGCCTTGCTTCCTTCCCTGGGGCGCCCCCGTCTCCTCGCCTCGCCCCTCCTGCTCAAGGCTTGCCTGGGAGGCGCTCTCCTGCATCTGCGCCCATACAATTCAGCTTCGTTTGAATTATTTGGGGAAACCGGGCCTGTTTCCTGCCAATCAAGCCTCTTCAGGCCTCCTCCTTTCATATCTCGCCCATTCATGTAGTATAGGGTGGAGCCCTATGCTTGACCTCTCACTGAACATTGAGAAAACCAAAGTGCTCTTCTAGCAGGCACCAGCCAATCCCTCGGCAATGCCAGAAATACAGCTTAATGGTGCAACATTGGAAAATGTCGACCATAGTATAGTAATAATAGTAATAATAATAACAATAGATCACATCCTCAGCTGCTGCAAGATCACGCAGATAGACCACAAGCAGGGGCACAACACCGTTGCTCAGATGATTCATTGGAACTTGTGCCACAAATACCATCTGCCTGCGACAAAGAACTGGTGGGATCACAAGCCGAAAAAAGTTACAGAGAATGAACAGGGCAAACTCCTCTGGGACTTCCGGATTCAGACAGACAGAGTTTTGGAACATAATACACCTGACCTCACAATCGTGTTAAAAAACAAAGTATGGATTGTCAATGTTGCAATCCCAGGTGACAGCAGGATTGAAGCAAAACAACTGGAAAAGCTGACATGATATGAGGATTTAAAGATTGAACTGAAAAGGCTCTGGCACAAGCCAGTCAAGGTGGTCCCAGTGGTGATCGGCACACTGGGTGCAGTGCCTACAGACCTTGGCCTGCACTTAAACACAATAGATGCTGACAAAATTACCACCTGTCAGCTGCAAAAGGCCACTCTACTGGGATCTGCACACATTATTCACCTATACATCACTTGGGAAGTGTCTGATGTGTGATCCAATACAACAGCCAGCAGAGTGACCTTGTTTGCTGTGTACTAATCTTTTTGAATTTCAAATAATAACTTAATTTTTATACCCCAGTTCTATCTCCCTGAAGGGATGGCTTACAAAGAGACAAACCTAGAGACCACAGAGTTAAAAACATTCAAATGCAATAAAATAAAAACAAAACATCAAAAAAAAAACACCCCTGAATAGAAACATATCACAATAAAACATAACATCATAAAAACAGTACCCTGGAGAACAATAAAAGTGCTGAGTTCAGAGGGCTATGGGTTTCTGCAAAATTCCTAGAGCTAAGGGAAAGTACAAAATTCAGTGCCAAGGATTGGAGAGTAATGTCCTTGGTCATTAAATGACAGGATTTTGGAGCAGAAGCCCATAGCTAAAGTGCCAGAACTTCGGTATTATTGGGCCAATAATACCTGTCTAGTCAAAGGCACAACGGAACAGTTGACCCACCCAGTTGACCATTTCCACTATCTTTGCAGCCACCTCTCCACCAAAGTCAATGTTGACACTGAAATACCACACCACCTGAGCTCTGCGAGTGCAGCATTTTTCCGAAGCCCAGAGTGTTTGAGGACCGGGATACCCTAGGGAGACCAGGGTGCTTGATTATAAAGCTATTGTCCTCCCAACCCTGCTATATGTCTGCAAAACATGGACTGTCTACAGACGTCACACTTAACTCCTGGAACAATTCCATCAGTGTTGCCTCTGAAAAATACTGCAAATCTCTAGGGAAGACAGGCGGACAAATGTCTGTGTGCTGGAAGAAGCAAAGACCACCAGCATTGAAGTGATGCTCCTACACCATCAACTCCGTTGGACTGGCCATACCTGATCACCGTCTCCCAAAGCAGTTATTCTACTCTGAACTCAAGAACAGGAAACTGAATGTTGGAGGACAGGAAAAGAGATTTAAAGATGGGCTCAAAGCCAACCTTAAAAACTGTGGCATAGACACTGAGAACTGGGAAGCCCTGGCTCCTGAGCACTCTATCTGGAGGTCAGCTGTGACCAGCAGTGCTGTGGAATTTGAAGAGGCATGAATGGAGGGTGAAAGGGAGAAACATGCCAAGAGGAAGGCACATCAAGTCAACCCCGACCGGATTCACCTTCCACCTGGAAACCGATGCCCTCACTGTGGGAGAACATGCGGGTCAAGAATAGGGTTCCACAGTCACCTACGTACCCACCACTAGGACACTGCACTTGGAGGACAATCTTACTTGGACAATGAGGGATCGCCTAACAAATGAGTATAGGGTGGGCCAAAAGTCACACAGGCACCTGATGTTTTGAAATTGAATTATTATTGTTGTTGTTGTTGTTGTTCTTGTTGTTTATTGCTCACTTCACCTTGTGGTTTGAGGTGGGGCAAAACACAGACCACACCCATATAATGAAAGTTAAAATTCACTGGGTAAGCATGTAATGTACAGTAGAGTCTTGCTTATCCAACATAAATAGGCCGGCAGAACGTTGGATAAATGAAAATGTTGGACAATAAGGACAAATTAAGGAAGTGCCTATTAAACATCAAATTACATTATGATTTTACAAATTAAGCACCAAAACATCATGTTTTACAAGAAATCAACAAAAAAAGCAGTTCAATACACGGTAACGTTATGCAGTAATTACTGTATTTATGAATTTAGCACCAAAACATTGCAATTTATAGAAACAGCTGTGTATCCAGGCAGGAGGCAGACTGTGCTGGATAATACAGACTGTTGGAAGAGAAAATGTTGGATAAGCGAGACTATACTGTAATTTTGTTCCCTATATATTGCATTTGATGAGTCTGGAGAACAAGCCCTATGAGGTTTGGCTTAAAAAGCTGGGCATGTTTAGCCTGCAAAAGAGAAGGCTGAGAGAAGACATGATGAGGGCCATGTATAAATATGTGAGGGGGAGTCATAGGGAGGAGGGAGCAAGCTAGTTTTCTGCTGCCCTGGAGACTAGGACATGGAATAACGGCTTCAAACTACAGGAAAGGAGATTCCACCTGCACATTAGGAAGAACTTCCTAACTGTGAGAGCTGTTCAGCTGTGGAACTCTCTGCCCCAGAGTGTGGTGGAGGCTCCTTTGGAGGCTTTTAAACAGAGGCTGGATGACCATATGTCAGGGAACTTTGACAGCGATTTTCTTATTTCTTGGCAGAGGGTTGGACTGGGTGGCCCACAAGGTGTCTCCCAACTCTATGATTCTATGACGCTACGGTATAGCAAATTTTAAAAAAGAAAGCATTATTAAGTATTGAAACCCAAGTGACAGTTGACCCACCCTTAAACATCTACTGGTATTGCTGAAATATTGATGAGTGGTGTGTTTAACTGTCCTATCTCTGAAAGAAATAATGGCAAATCTGGAGGGGTTTTTGTGTGTTGTTAACTTTTACATTGCTGTAATCAATGAGAGTGCCAACTGTATTCTCAACAATTAAGTTTGTTTCTGTCAAGTGCAAAATGTGCTGTCGATGTTTAATGCCAATATGTAGGATGTGCTATCTTTCAAAAAATCCAGCATGTGGATCAAAGAAGAGTAGAGCTTGGGAAGACAGCATTTATTTAGGTTCAATTCATTAGATGTACATATTTATTCTAGTTGGGAATTTAGTAGACCCTTGGTACTCATTGAGATTTGGGTTCAAGATCACCACTCCCTCCCAGTGGACACCAACATGCATGGATGCACAAGCCACATCATGTACAACAGTGTGTTGCAATGGTGTCCCTTATAGAAAATGGCAAAATCAAGCTTAGCTTTTTGGAATCATTTTTTCAACTTACAGATAATTGAATCCTTGTTTATGTAAAGCTGTACTAAATTTAGGATGTGGAGCTAAATCCCATATAACCCACTATGGCTGTTCTATGTTGGAGGGCATCTCAAACATAATATGTGAGGTTTATACTGGTTACTGGTTTGGAGATTGCATAGCATGGAATCATAACACAGGAGTAAAAAGATCATATTCATGTTGACAGTAACTGATTTTCCTCCCTATGGTTCAAGGTGGGATATGACATCATTAAAACAAGAGGTGACATACAACAAGATACAGAGAGTTACAATATAAGTTACTGATAAAATGCAGATTAAAAATCACAACTTAAAATTGACCAGAAGAGATGAGTCTTCAAGTGTGTCAAATTCTGACACTAATCTAGCTGTCGAATCTCTTTTGTCAGGTCATTCCAGTCTTGAGGAAGATAACAGAAAGATCCTCTAGGTGATGGTTGCCAGTCGGGTCTGGCAGGCTGGAGTAGCTACCCCCCAGGGGACCTAAGTGTTTGGGGTGGATTGTACGGGAGAAGGTGATCCTGTAGGTAAACCAGACCCAAACCATGTATAGAACCGCTTTGAGTCCCCCCAGGGGTAAGAAAGGTGGTATATAAATACTGTAAATAATAATAGAACACTGAATCTTGCTACACTTCATCACAGTCATTAAAAACTACTAAGACACCCACTTAAGAAATGGCAACCTACAGTGTCCATCACATGATGTAGAAAACAAGTTAGGGCTGGGCAGTTTCGTTTCGTTGATTCGTAATTCGTTAAAAATTCGTTATTTTTTTTATAACGAAGCGATAACGAACCATTCTGGAGCAACTTAAAAACGAAACGAATTTTTAAATTCGTTTCGTAATTGTTTCGGATTCGTTATGTATTCGTTTTGTTATAGTTTTGAAGTCGTTTCGTTATTATTTCCACATGTCTGGGGCAAGTTTTATAGTTGTTTTTTGTTTAATTAGTGAAAAAAAATTATAATATCACACCAACAGTCAACAACAGAGGGAGAGGGAAGCTTCAGAAGTTCCCCCTGTCCCATTTGGAGGTTTTTTAGCGTATTTCGCGGTCGCGTCCGCCATTAACGAATCGATTCGTTATTGTTTAATTGTTTCGTTATTGTTTCGTAATTTTTTTAACATTTACGAAATTTCGTAAATATCGAACTTTTTAAAAGAAAAATTTCGGAATTCTTTTTAAAATCGAAACGCAAAACCCCCCAAAAAAGAATCGATTTTAGAAACAAATTTTTCCGTTGTTACCCAGGGATTTAAAAAAGCATTGGGTTATCTTTTCAGACACTTGCTAAGCGGGTTGGTAAGTGATTTTTTTTGCAAATTATCCAGATAGAGATGGGCAAAATGGTCAGTTCTGTCATGTGATAGTATTTGTCATTCTCAGCTTTAAAATGATACGGTTAGGCAGTTTGTGAGGAGCAGAAATGCTCCTTTGGGAAAAAGCTCCACTATTAGGAGGTTGGACTGGATGGCCCATGAAGTCTCTTCCAACTCTATGATTCTATGATTACCTTTTGCTTACAAAGGAGAGAAGATCAGCAGTGTTCCTGTTTGTCTCATGCACTTTCTGGAGGCTTTTTCCTTCTCTTGTGTTCTGTGTGCCATGTGTTACCTCCTCCTCTTCTCATTCTTTCCCTCCTTCCATTTTACTTCTAACATGGGAAATGAAGGGAGAACCTCTAGACACCTCCTTCCCTCCTTCTTTCCCTCCTGCCTTCCTTCTTCTAACATGGGGAGCAAAGAGAGAGCCCCCAGATGCCTCCTTCCTTCCTCCTCCCCATCCTTCCTTCTTCTAATATGGGGAAGGAGAGAGAGAGGGAGAGAGGGGGGAGGATCACTGGAATGACAGCAAAGAGAGAGCTCCCAGACACCTCCTTTCCTCCTCCTCTTCCATTCAGTTGACCGCAAGGACCATCTAGTCCAACCGCCTTCTTTCTGCCATGCAGCAAAAGCACAATCAAAGCACTCTGACAGATGGCCATCCTGCCTCTGAATAGTAATAATAATAACAACATGTTCATAGTTTGCAAGTGTTATTTCCTGTTCCTTATTTTGAAAGTGGCTGTTGTGCTCCAGAAACTTCATTTTTGTGCCCACAAACTATGTTAAAACTGTGGAAACTCTACAAGATATTCAATCATTGGGAAATTAGAGCAAAATGTGCTATAGCAGGATGTCCCTCCTGAAAAACGAAGTTTTTGAAGTTTAATAAACTTTAAAAATGGAGCTGAGCTATATGGTAATCTACTCTTCCAAACACTTGACATGTTTAGTGGGAGGAAGTGGATAAAGTGTTATGCAAATGAGCCTCAGGGTTGTTTGTTCTTTTCTCACCTCCTCTCTTCCAGCACATTTTGAAATGTCACAGCAATAATCATTTTTATTTAACCTTAAGATGCAAATTTGCAAAGAGTAAGTTCTTAACTGACTATAAAGAAATCATATCACTTTACCACAAAGAGCAAATATATTGAAACAAACATATTTCCTTACAGTGTAATTAACCTTGGTAGATTACAATGTCTGAACAATTGTGGTAAGGGTAAAATCTGGTTTTATTAAAACAAGTCTCTTCGAACCATGGTTGGCTTGTTCCTAAACCATAGTTATTCTTGACCATAGTTTAAGAATAGGGAGCAATATTTGAATTCAATGGTGAAAGCACAAAACAGTATGACTGGTAAATTCTGGGCATTGTAATCTGACATATTGGAAGAGCATCTGGTTGGGAAAGCTTCTATCAAGCCATGGTGTCGCATTATGTCTAAATCAGACCATTGTTTAATATATACAAATAGCCACAAAGCACATAGTTTAGCTTTATTTGATTTAAGGCAAAATATAACACAAGTTTCATATAAAGAACATGGATAAATGGAAAGAGTTCTTCTGCCAGGGTTAAGTTAGCATTTTGATCACCATTACAATAACCTTTGAAAAATTTCCCTTTCTTATGCCTCTTTAGTCAACAATACAAAACTAATACAATAACACGTTTTGAAATATCACAGCATTTAAAACAGTAGCAAGAGTTTTTGTTGAACCTTAAGGTGCAATTCTACAAGAGTAAATGCATCAATGATTCTAAAAAGATTATACAACTTTCTGGCAGTGAGCAGGTATCAAAGCTGAGGATATAGATCTCTCTGTATGGTATGATTACCATAAACTGAAACAAATGAGCAGAGATTATAAACAATGGGTACAAAACAGCAATGAAAAACATTTATTCCTCTACTCTGCTGGTTATTCTATGACAAAAATTACTTTAGCCCATCCTTTAGCACAACTGGGACTTTTGCCAGGATTTAATCATACCACAAGCAGCCCCTGGTCTTCAGTGAGAGCTTGGACTTGAATCCTACATTTGCTTCAGACAATGGCAAAATGTTAGTGATGCTGGTGGTGCAATATTATCTGAACTTCAAGGGCAATATGATCATTATTTTCCAGACTGCCGAACAATCAGAGTAAACACAGGTGTGCTTAACTTTTAACAAGTCTTCACCTGCATATCACCTTTTACTACAAGTCAGCCATTATGGCCCAGATCCCAGGGGAGCATAAAAGTCTGCCAATGCACTTTGCTGGAGATCTTCTACTTCTTATCCTCCAACTGCACAAAAGCAACCGAGTAATAGCAAGCCCCCATTGTTTAGCTCAGTGGTTCTCAACCTGTGGGTCCCCAGATGTTTTGGCCTTCAACTCCCAGAAATCCTAAAAGCTAGTAAATTGGCTAGGATTTCTGGGAGTTGTGAGCCAAAACATCTGGGAACCCACAGGTTGTGAACCACTACTTTAGCTGAAGATAAGTGTTATGCAAGGGGGTACTGACTTTCTTCTTGTGCAATGCTTAAGAAGGCAATAACATTGGTGGAGACCCTGGTTCAACAAGAGGATTGTGGACGATGTGTTCAAGTTGGTAATTGGATTGTGATGAAATCAGTATTTCTGAAACTGGATATCACATGGAATAGCATCATGGAAGCATAGAATCAAACCCAGGTTTACTGTATCTTATTTCCTCTCAGCATAACAACAATTAAACATGGAACTAAATGTTCAAGATTAGTTTCCTTCCACATGAAACTGAAGGAATCAACATGACCTTTCCCACTATATATACTATATATCGATGTATAGAAAATATTTTTTGGTTTTATATAGCATTGTTTAAGAATATGTTTGCATTAGAAAACATTTATGACCAGCAAGCAGCAGTTTTGCTTTGCAAAATAAATATTAATTCGGTCTCATAATTGGCTATATTATATTGCTCTTGTTCAATTTAGCTAGTAATCAAGTTGTATCAGAGTTATCATGTGAAAAATAGGACTCCTATAATTTTTAAATTGACAACTACCAACTTTGTTCTAAAGAACTATTCTTAGATATATATCTAATATGACAAAATGGGAAAAACATGCTGTGAAAATGTTCCAAACGTATATACTTCTATTAGAAAATAAGATCTGCCTTCTGATACCTTAGCTACAGTCTACTGTTAGGTTGTAAAAATTCACAGTAATCCAATCTTTCAAGCACATCTTTCAAACTGCGAGCCTGTATAGTTGAGTAGAATGATAAACTGATAGCAGGACGTTTAGTATGGAGATGTATAAACAAACACACACAACTGAAGATGGAAGTCTATGACTGATATTGACATATTCAAGGCAATACACTCTTAAACAGTTTATGTGATTGAAGAGTCACATGGTGAAGCAAAATCTGTGCTGCTTTGTTGGAATATGCCTACTCACATCCCAAAAATGCTGTATTGTTTCAAGGGCCCTGAGTATTGCTGGTTTATGGCTTTGTACTATATGCTGTTATTGTCCTTTAGGTGGATTTTTTTTTGTAATTTTCAAAGGCTACAATGCTAAGCATATTGAAAGTGGGATTTACTCCTGAGTAAACAATGCTAAGAATTCAGCTGTTGCCTATAAATATGTCTCATTGAACCGAGTGGGGATAGCTTCAAGTAAAAATGCACAGGATTGCACTGCAAATCTCTTTCCTTAAATTGCCCTGACCTTCTAACTCTTAGCTAATCTTATATCTACAAAATCATATCAGTGTCCAGGACTGTGATTCTGGACAGAGACAAAAACTGATATTCTATATTTCCTCACAGTTATTTATTTGTTGGCTTAGTTTTCAGTAAAGATGGAAGATGTAGTACATTTAAATCAAAGTTATTACTTCTCCCACTATATCTTAAATGGCTACTTTACATTCAGCTGTGCATCTGTGTGTATTACAAAAAATCTAATTTTTTTAAAGCCCAACAGATCTTGAACAGCTCTAGAAGTCTAATGGATTCCTTCTCTCTCTTATGTTAGAAAACTGTGAAGTATGAACACTGCAATGCATCAGAGTATATCTACCTTCATTCAAAACTTATGAAGTATATTAGGCTAGGTCTCTAAGTACCTTCTGAAAAAGATTGGTTATATGTGCAAAATATTTGATACACATCACAGAATGTTGTCACATCCAATCAGTTAAAACATTGGGTTTCATGTACAGACCACTTGCATTCATTTAAAGTGGTTATTTACTGACCAGTTGTGATTGTCTCAGGAGATGTGAGATACATCTGAATGTGACATATTGCCTCTAGATGATTTCTCTCTCTTCTACTTTTTTCAGTGCTTTCTGTATTATGCAATAACAATAACCCTTGTATGAAGCAGAGAAGTCAAAATTAACATAGAGACCAAAAGTCTTGAAATGGCATGGCGCAAATGGGTTAACAGTTCCCCTTCTTCCTGAAATACATCACATGGCACATTATCAAAATAGAAAGAGATTCAATGGGACCAGACAGTCATCAAGTTTCCACCAGAATATCTGCAAGACTGATAACAGGCAGAGAAACAGAAACTTAAGCAAAAGTAAATTCACAGTTTGGCTAACATCTGCCAAGTTCAACCAAAAAGCAATTAGTATTTGCTAATATGTACAAATCAGATAAATAACCCATATCCCATAAATAATAATACAACAATAATACAAATAAGACTAATACCATTGTTGAATTTCAGTATTTTTCCGTACAGTTCTAGTTGAAATAACTTTACTATGATCTGAATATTGCTGCTCATGGGTCACAAGTAGTAAGACACTTAGGTTGAAATGTAATGACTAAGATACTAGCACAGAAGTCATATACATCAAAAATTGACACACAATGTATAGCAAATTTATCTTCTTTAAGTAAGCATAATTATACTCACAATACGCTACTTAAATTTCTTTTTAAGTACACAGGGAAGCCACCTAGTATGCTTAAGAACATATTCTGTGTTACAATCCTAAACACACTTTTTAAATGAGGCCTAAAAATGTATAAATAAGATTTTCTACAAAACAAAAACCCAAACTTCCCTTTTGTCATTCTGCCTTGCAGATCAGTTATGTGACATGTTACTGTAGTAACCAAACATAATGTAAGTATATGCTAGCTTGTTTCTAATGGTAATATTTGCAATAAGAAAAGACAAGTTCCACATCCGAAGTCTTGGAGCACAGGTGACAGTATCACATCTATATAACAACTGATGTGCAACAGTTTTGATGAGAGATCCTGTAAAGAAAGTGGTAGAAAGAAAGGGAGAATTTCTTCCTTTGGCCTGGTGGGTTTTCTAAAGGGCATTAGAATACCAGATCAATTACAAATCAGTAGTTAAGAGGCACCAAAATAGGAGTTCCTTTTAAGGAAGTGTGTTTTACAACTGGAATAAGTACTGCACAGCATGATAGAATAGACTGTAATGTCAAATCATTTAATACCAGAACCATTTACTAACTTTATCAATAATGAGAAAGCCTTTAATGTAAAATTATGGAACTGTCTTCTAATATATTATGTAAAAGTCTGGAGAGCAACACTGAATTTCTCCTTTCGGATTGTCAGTTTTGTTTGTAAGATGCTCTAGAAATCATGTAACATCGAAACAAACACATTTGTAAAGCATGTGCCAGAAGTACTGTGGACTGTGGGTGCATGTACATTGTAGAATTAATACCCTTTGACACAGCTTCAACTGGCATTTAATCTTCTCTGCCAAAGCATGCTGATGGCTCATCAAACTACAAAGCTCAGGATTTCAAAGCACTAACAGTTAAAGTAATATAAAAGTGCATTAATTATATAATGTAGATGCACCCTGTACCAGAAAAATCAGTTTCAAGCAGGAATAAATCAAGAGACTTCCAGAGCCAATGCTTGTACTTGATTTAAGGGAAGCTGAATTACTGAGCTCGCTAATACAAGGAACTCATAACAAGTTTAGTAATTTCCAAAATGGGATTAGATAATAATATTAAATTGGCTCAGCAATCATCATAAAGTAATCCCAACTCCACCTCCAACTGTTATCATTTTGTAAGTATCTCTGCCTCTACATTGCCTTTTTGTGAAATCTCAAGGTACTATGCATGGAACTTTTGGTTTGAAAGTATAGGATTCACTTGATTTCAAATGTAGCATTTGGGGGGGGGGAGACTGAATGAGAGAGGGAGATAGAAGAACGAGGTCTTATCATGCTAGAGTCAGTTCACAACTGATCACAAATGTCAGTTGCAAAGAATAGTCAAATAGTTCCTAACTTATTACAACAAAGAGTATTATCTTTTCTCCCACAAAGGAACTTTTATTTTAATATTAGATATCAACTTGGTTTTCAAAGAAGTAGTCATGTTAGTCTCTTGAGACATAAAAGAGAGGAAAGAAGACGAAAAAAAGTAATGCTGTATCATCTTAAAGACTTAAGGCGCTTCTAGACAGCACCAAAATCCATGCCAAAGTGGGTTTTAAAAGCCCACTTTGTCTCAGATTTTTGTTCCCACTCTCACCAAAAAAAACTGGGCTGGAATGGTAAATGGAGACTCACCCCTGGGCAGTCCCAGGACTACCCAGAAGTGAGTCCTCACAGGCCCAGTACCCCATTAGACTTGGACCTTTCAGGAAGGCCTGGATCTATTGGGGTATGTAAATAATTTGGAATAAAACAGGGAAACCCTGGTTTGTTCCTAATTAATTCAGTTTTACTGAATTCATTTGGATTTTTATTTACTTCTATCATAACAAAGATGTGGCCCCACAAAATGGTGAAGAAATACCCACGCCTCATGTACTGTAATTTGTGATGCTATTTGCTGATGCAGTGACAGGAAGTGTCTGTGTTTAAGATGGGAAAGCAGTGGCTCATGGCATTAGAACTCAATCTCAATAAACTGGAAACTGTATTTTCCTACATTTGAGAAATGGGAAAGTAACGATTTACTTTTATAAGATGGCTACTATGATTGTAAAAAGCTGCTTTTGATGGGATTTGCATCTTTGACTGTAACAGATTATTATTTTAAAAGTAACATTCCAAGTTCTATTTTATGCAAGTGCAACATGAGCTTGTAAACACAGTACAACCTCTATATTCATGGGATCAGTATCTGCAGTTTCATTATCCATGTCTGACAAACTATATCTTCTCTAGGCATTTTCTAGGTCCTTCAGCATGACTCTATCGCATTCTTGGTCCAGATGCCCTTTGTTTAAAATAGGGTTATTATCCTATAATACCCATGTGAAATTTGGGAGCATGGATACAGGGATTGTGCTGTGGTTTAGCAACTGTTAACTCTTTTTTCATGGACCTTTGAAGACATGCAGAGAAATGGGACAGGAAAGGACAGAAAGTTTCTAGATATTGCTTGCATATTTTCTAGATGGACTCATTTCAAATGCTGAGAATAACGATGCTAAAGGCAGGTTTTGTCTTTCCAAGTGCATGGACAGTGCTGATATATTTACATATGTCAATTAAATCGTAAGGCTCAGGTACACAGTTTCCAAATCCATAGAAATATAATAAAGAAGTGGGAAGCTTTTGGACTTCCAAATGTTATGGTATACAGTTTCCAACAACCTCACAAGTGTTAAAAAGGCCTATGGGAATGTAGCCCAAAACACCTGGAGAGTCAAAGGTTCCCCAGTTACGGTGTAAATAGTGGTATTAAGCCAATCAAAATATATGGAAGAAATTGTAAATTACATATGTTTGTTGTTGCATTGCCTGTGCTTTCAAAGGAATTTAGCAAAATGCTTATTTTTGTATGTTCTTGGTAACCATTAACATGTTGATCTCCATTTGTACATTCCTAAAATTCAAGTGTCTGTTTTGTCATTTTGTGAAATGCACCTTTTTAAAGGCTGTTGACCCTTATGAATAGGTTATAATAACGTCTTAGGGTTCAACTGAATTGCTTTTCAGTTTTGGAATAATATGAAGAGTTCTTGTTCCTTGAGTCTACTATTAGAAATCACACACTCTCTTTTCCTTACCCCTGTATGCATATGTGTATGTGTGAGAGAGCTTTTCTCTATCTTTGTCCCACCCTACCTGCTCTGGATCATTAAGGCTATCTCATTAGTGATAATGCTGAAATGGATGAATTATTTTTAAATAACCTTCTATGATCATGAACTTCGTTTCTGCATCTGGAATGGTTGACCTGGCACAGCAGTGGAACGTGTTCCATCTTATACAAAGACACTGAAAAGTGGGAACTCAGCCTGGTTAGGCTGCAGCAAGTCAACAAGGAAACACACAGTCCCTGAGAAGCCCTCAAAAAGGCTGTAAACACTTTCCAATGATTGGGAACCAGCCTTGAATTCTTCAGTAAACAAGAATTCAGCAAACCTAAGAAACAAGGAAAAGAGACAAAGAATCAGTAATTGACTATCTCAATACCTATTATTACCTATCTCAAGTTATTTTCTAAAGATAACATATGCTTCTATGGACAGGTTCACTATTCATCCTCGGCCTATTAGATTGGTATCAGTTTGTGCTCTTCTTTGATTGGCTTCAACATAACACTGCCCCACTGTAGCTCATATTTCTTCATCAAAAGTGGCCTCATCAGTATTTCTTCATCAAAAATGGCCTCATCAGAAAGAAGCTTATGATTAAGAATTCTACAGGGATTTACCTCCTGATGTTGCTGTGAAATCGTATTTCATCTCTTACCATATTATTTTAACTTTTCTGGGTCTGGTGCCAGAGTTTCTCCATCTCACTCGACTGRCTTTAGTTCTGCCTGGTTTACATTTATAATTCAACTAGCTGTCCCCTGCCATGCGTTGCTGTGGCCCACATGGKGTTCTGTGTTGGAGGATTGGCCCAATTCTATCGTTGGTGGGGTTCAGAATTCTCTGTGATTGTAGGTGAACTATAAATCCCAGCAACTACAATTCCCAAATGTCAAGATTCTATTCCCCCCCCCCCCAAACTCCAACAGTGTTCACATTTGGGCATATTGAGTCTTCATGTAGAGTTTGGTCCAGATCCATCTTTGTTTGAGTCCACAGTGCTCTCTGGATGTAGGTGAACTACAACTCCAAAACCAAAGGACACTGCGCACCAAACTCTCCCAGTATTTTCTGTTGGCCATGGGAGAACTGTGTGCCAAGTTTGGCTCAATTCCATCATTGGTGAGGTTGAGAATGCTCTTTGATTGTAGGTGAACTATAAATCCCAGAAGCTACAACTCCGAAATGACAAAATCATTTTTTTGGAGTGAAGGACATACATTGGGWTGTTAGGTGTATCGTGTCCAGATTTGGTGTCAATTCCCCCAGTGGTTTTTAARTTCTGTTAATCCCACAAACGAACATTACGTTTTTATTTATATAGATTTCTTGTTGGATCTTTGTTGTTGTTTTTGTGTCTTCAAGTCATTTCTGACTTACAGCAATCCTATGACTACCATGATGCTTTGGAAACTTAGGCATGTAAAACCTTCCCAAGGCTACACATTGCATAGGGTTATAGTTCAATGCTTAAATCACTACATTGTGCTGGGAATTATCTTGGTTCTATCAAAACCAGTCCATTTTTGGTTTCTCTTCAAATGCAATCTGACACAATTTGTTGGGTGAGAATCCACAATTCCACAAATGACTCTAGGCCTTTTTTTTAAAAAAAAATATGTAAGCTTTCTCAGATATATAACAAGTTTGGTGTCACATAAGGAGTGTGAATAAAATATTCACAAGTGGGTTGCAGCTGTTAGTAACTGAATAATTCTTGCTGCAGAAGGGGATACATAGACAAGTTGATTTATTTTTATTTTATGAACAGAGTAGATGGATTGCTTATCTTCTACCTATCTTTTCTACTTAAGAAAATAAAGAAGGAAAAGAAAAGCTAGATCAGTGGTTCTCAACCTATAGGTCCCCAGATGTTTTGCCCTTCAACTCCCAGAAATCCTAACATCTGGTAAACTGACTGGGATTTCTAGGAGTTGTAGGCCAAAACATCTGGTGACCTACAGGCTGAGAACCACTGGCTAAATACAATAGCCTACCAAATTTCAACAATTATTTCCATAGACTGGTAAGAAAAACCCAGCCTAGATCCAAAGATTCAGAAGGATTTCTGAAGGTTTTCTTAAAGTGGTTTAAACAAGTACTTGTTCATTAGGTTGTAATTATATGATTATTGTTTTACACGGGTTAAATCACACGCATATATTAAATACATGCTAACAAATCTGGCAATAAAGCAAGTTGGGAGGAAATAGAGGAGGCATAACTCCTCCAAACACCATAGTTTCTGTCCTAAAATGATACCTTTGATTCCATATATGTGGGGTAGATCTCATGGTCTTTAATTGGATGCAGGAATAAACAAAGGCCTGTGCTGTTGGCTGAACTTAGCAAATAGCAAGGAGACATAAGGAAAAGACATAATGAAAAAACCCTACCTCTGATAGAATTATTAATATCTGTACCTTCTTGCTGAAGCTAAAGTTATCTTAGGTTGCAAAATTCTAGTTCAGAAGGAGAAAGATAAGCAACCAAAATGCAGATACCCTTTGCTCTGTTTCTTTGGGCTTACCCAGTCTTTCCTAGCATGCTATTTGATAATTGGGGTCAGAGGGTTCCAACAATCTCATAGCAGCTGTTGCACTATAATAACTGCAAATGGTACTCTCAGCAAATCTAGGGTGGCTGAGTAAGTGACATCTTTGCTTTCTGATAGTTCAGTCTACACAAATTATGTTGCATGCATAAAATTAAAATGTTGCATAAAATTCCCTCAGGTTATGTGTAAAAGGTATACATGAAATATAAATGAATTTCATGTTACGTCTGACATCTTATTATGTACCATACATCAAATCTCCAGAAAGAAAATTAAAACTCACAGCCCTGCTCCTGGTACTTTCCACAGTATACTAGATTTTTAAAAAGGTAAATATCTGTGATGGTTAGTGGATAATAGGATTAAAATTCACAGCTGCTGGTGAAAACATCTGGTCTTTCCTTTCCTGTTTTATCCCAACAAAACTCACCTACTCTATTAGAACTGAGGGGAAAGTAATGAAAGCATCACCATTAGGACACTATCATTAAATAAGAATATAAAGATGTCCTATATTTCATCAAAACCTTTAGAAAACAAGAGTAAATTCAGATTGCTTTGCACAGTCTGAAATGACCTGCAATATACTCATCACTACCATAATGTTGCCCATATCAACTGTTAGTACCAACCTTTGTGCTCTGTATATGTACTTAGAATTTCCTGTAAGTCTATAGAGAAGCAGGAACACATAAGCACTGCCAGCCACTCCGTGACATATTCCAGGTCCTTTTTTCAGGAGTCCTTTCTGCCAAGTTAGCTCTCCACAGCGAATACAGCTATCTAGATACTGGGGCTTCTTTGAAACTAAGTATGCTTTTGCAAACATGTAGGCAATGCCTGAGGGAAAGAGCAAAGAAATGGTCTAAGGTTCTTCACAGTAATAAAATACAGAACAATTGCTACACATAAAAATATTTCCTATGTGGTGTGACGTGCCAGCTATCAGGCTGCTAGAACTGAAAATAATCATTAATCATTCTACAAACCCACCACATTACAGAAATTAGATAATCCAAGAACTCCAATGACCCACTGTTCTCACTAAATTCTTCTTAGTCCAATCCTCTGTTGTCGATTGCCTTAAAAAACATATGATTACTCTTGCAAATTATGAATGGGAAGGTGGGGGGGGGGATAAAATTAATTGAGATAGCAGAGAATTAACACTTGTGGAAACTTTCTGGAAAGTGAGATTTAAAGAATTCTCAAAATCAATGATTGCTTTTACACTGTGTAGCAGTGTAAAGTTAATCTATGTGAAAGCCATTACAAAGTTGCCTGAGACAAATGATTTTGGGCAATAAATTGTTCATTGCTGTTTATTAATATCTTTTTAATTGTTTATACATATGCACTGTTGTTGGAAAATGTTTGTATACATGTCTGCAGCTGTCACCAAATGCATTAGGCCATGGGATAACTTTACCTTTTTACACAAGAATTTTGTGGGAAACTAAAGAGGGTTGGTATTAAAAGCTAATGGATTCACTTTCTCTCCACAAATAGATTTGAGCATAGGCAGGACCACTATGATCATAGTGACAGAGAAGTCTTCTGAGGCCACCTTCGATTTTTTTTCCCCTATGCAAGTAAGCTATTTTATGGTTATATAAATAGGCACAGCATGATGCATTGGATTTTTAACAATTGGAGGAGTAGTGGTACTTCAAACTGCCTAATCTTTCACTCACTTTAAGTATAATGGAAATACTGAAGGAAAAAGCATGACAAGAGAAATATGGGAGCCTGGCATCAAATGTAGATCAGATAAAATCTGGCCCCTTTCATCAGCAAAGTGTGTTACAAGCTGTTTTAATGACTAATTCCTGGCTTAATGTCACAGCATCTATATGAGAAAAACCTGGAGCTCCATGACACCAGTGTACAAGTTCATTCTCCCGCTCAATCATTCCTCCTAGTTCTGGAGGCCAGTTGCAATTCTGCTCTTGATCCATGAGAAAGTCAACACTCTGCCATACTAGTTCCTGATCAGCTGATGGGAGGTATTCGTAATAGGAGAGTAGCATCTGTAGGATGGAGGAAAGTCCATGAGCAGCCCCTGTGAAGAACAGACATGACTGCAGTTAAGAAGTGCTGCACTGCATTTTCTTTTTTAAAGGGAAGTTATTATTCAGTGAATTATAATACTAGAAAATAGGCTTGGAAAACAGATAAATATCCATGACAAGAAAGAAAAAAATGTAGCTGAATTGCATAGTTTGCTAGATGGTTATGAACTTTTAAAGGAGAGTGAACAAATGAAAGAATAAATTTGAAAACATATCCATATTTGTCTGGAATATCAGTATGAAAAGGGATCTTGGAGTACAATTGAGACTTAGAGAAAGAAACTGACAGCTTAAGTGTTAGGATACATAAGTCTATTTTCTGCAATGCATGGAATAAAGCATCAAAAACAGACCTTTATGAGTACTGTGAACAGCAACAAAAATGCAAATCTCTAAGGTGACAAGTTCAATTTTAATTATGGTATTTGGGAAATAAAGACAGGAGGAAAGATGTCACTTAAAGCCAGGATGAGCAAATCAACATATGAATGCTGGAGAGAGTTATTAGAATGTAAGAACCAGAAATGCAATATGAAAAACTGGCTAAGAATGTCCTTGTGAGGCTGGAATGTTAACTAGTGTTATAATATGTGTAGTGTGCAATGAAACTATGTTTCTGTTGAATCCACTCTGCTGAATGGCCTGGATTTTGTTGATACATATCTTCCTTTGTAGTTTGTTGTTCTTCAAGGACAGTTAATCTGAGGTCAGAGCAGGAATGCCCAGGAAGATTGACATCTTCTACAGAAGCAGTTGGGCTAGAATTGTTTGATGTGGGTGTTAAGAAGCTGTGCATTTAGACTTGACTAAGTGAAAACAACTAGCCCTGAAAAGTTGGAAAGTTTCAAGGTGTTTGCACTTCCTTAAACATCCAGAGCTAACTGAAAAGACCATGTTGTGTTCAGGCTGATTTTATTTTGGTATGAAGTGGGTGTGTAAAGGCAAGAACAATCTAAATCACAGTTAGTAAAACGAATTTTAAAAAGTGACTTTTTATTTAGCAGTCATCCTTTTGTTTGTATCTACTCTCTATTACCAGTAGAATCTGGAATTTAAGGGCCTGGGAAAGAGTTGGTAAGGCATGCTACAACAGTACAGCCCTTTTGGTAGAACTGGCAATAGTCCTTTAATAATTCCTTACTAATTTATAACTTGGACATGTGAGAATCCTGTGGATATATTTTTATATATGGAAGGAGATGTGCCCATTTCCCCAGAGCTTTTTTAAAAAATGGCCAGGTCAGTGGGTTTGTCAAGCAGTCCTACACAAAGGTCAAAATTTAAACTAGGCAAAATGACTAAATCAATAGTAGTTTCCAACTGAATGTATTTAATTAAAGGCCAAGCAGAGGGAAATTCAAGACTATTTAAACTGAGATTTTAAAATAAAACGAAATATATAATATTGTAAGTAAAACCTCCTTATTATCCCAAAGTAGTTTCCAGTTGGATAGGGATCACACAACTACCTCAGGATTACCATTAATGCAAATTAACAACAAAAATAAGCTCAATGTGGCCTTCACTATTGAACAGCATCTCAAAGGCAAAGGAACAAAGACACCAAAAGTAGCTTCTAAACACCAATATTCCTTTGTAAGGAATTTGGAAGCTCTTAAGAGAGAAATTCTAACTGACCACTCAAGATTGGGCTGATCCAATTATGTAATCCCGTGCAACCCTTTGTTATTATATGCTATTAAACTGGCCTTAGCTTATGATGACCGGTCACAGTATTAAGATAAAACCTCCAAGAGACTGTGTTATTAATAGTTCTGTTCAGGTCTTGCAAACCTAGGGCTGGGGTTTCCTTTTATCAGGCACCATCTACACTGCCTTATAATGCAGTCTCAAACCACATTATATGATCAATGTATACTCATATGATGCAGTTTAGTGCACTTAAACTGCATTTGATGAGACTATACTGATTATATAATGCAGATTCAAATTGCATTTTATGGCAGTGTAAATGGGGCCTCAGTCAATCCACCTTGGTCTACTCCTACTGCCTCCAACTTTTGGAATATTTTTGTCTTTTCTGATTGGCCATGCTTTGTCATGACGTGGTATTATAGCTATTCCTTGATTGTGAAATATTTAATGGCAACAAAAACTCCATACTTTAAAAAGTACTTACCAAGATATTCTGTTCCATAGTAAGAGTACATGAGGGGAACTGGTTTTCTCTTCCTCAGTGCATACTGTTTCCCAGATTCTAATATTGCCTGGCAAATTGACTTGATTTGTGCCGGAGTCAATATCTAAAGTGGAGAGGAAAAAATCCATCAGATATGATAGGAACTTTTATCAGGCTAATTGCAGAAAGTGTGTGTGTGTGTGTGGGGGGGGGGGGATCATCTTCTTAGCAAAGTGTACTATCCCCTTCCACTTTAAGGCATCATTTTATTTTATAAACCCCATCAGACGCTTTATGTTCTTTGTCCTTCTCCCATTTGTTCTGCATTCTGAACCATCACACCAGCAAGTGCAGTTCCCGCCCACTCCACATATTTTTAATCAAGGAAAACTTGAATATCAAAAGACAAGATTACTATGGTCCTCATTCCGTTTGGTGTGGAAAGTGTGGGGATTTTAAACACCTTTTCCATTATCTGTTTTTCCCAAGCCTTCCTGCCCTACATTAGACCAATGTTATTATAAACCACTTTGCTACAATCCCTTTCTCCCAGGCTTTCCTTACCTCCATTAGGCCTGTGTTATATTAAAAAGCTAGCAAGAGCACAATTTCAAAAGCCTAGATTACTTGGACCACGAGAAGAACCAACCAGTCCATACATCAGGAAATAAAGCCCGACTGCTCATTGGAGGGAAGGATAGTAGAGGCAAAGATGAAGTACTTTGGTCACATCATGAGAAGACAGGAAAGCTTGGAGAAGACAATGATGCTGGGGAAAATGGAAGGAAAAAGGAAGAGGGGCCGACCAAGGGCAAGATGGATGGATGGTATCCTTGAAGTGACTGGCTTGACTCTGAAGGAGCTGGGGGTGGTGACGGCCAACAGGGAGCTTTGGCATGGGCTAGTCCATGAGGTCACGAAGAGTCAGAAGTGACTGAATGAATAAACAACAACAGATTAATATTAAGAAGAAAATGCAGTGAAAGCAAAATGGTGAGGAACACCCATTCCTCCATGTCACAGGCAAATCTGACAGATCACATTCCATGTGTTGTCAATCACTTTCTCTTGTTTGCAGGCACATTGGTAGTTCAAAAGATGGTTTCTCCTGTCTCCACATACTTTCTCTACAAAAGTAGTTTTACATCATGTGAAGGGCTCCATGGTACTTCGACCCTTAAAACATCTTGGGAGTATGTGGGAACAGAGAACAATTCATATCTGATGAGGTTACATTTCCTTCTGAGATATTCTTTGGAATGGAAATGAGTCTTAAAATCCATATAGGCAAACCCACCCACATATTTCTGTGTGATGCAGACTTTTCTAAGGGCCCTTCCACACAGCCATATAACCATGAATATCAAGGCAGAAAATGCCACATCTGCTTTGAAATGAGTTTTCTTAGTCCACACTGCCATATATTCCTGTTCAAACCAAAAAAAATGTAGGATTTTATTCAGCTGTGTGGAACGGGGCTAAGACTTTAGGAAAGTTGATTTCAATAAATGTAGGAAAATACTGGATGTAATCGCAAGGTAAAAGGGCAAAGAATTGGAAGCCATGGCATATGCGGGTGGCTTAGAGAGGTGGTTCTGTATAGTCTGAAATAATAGAATCACTGTATTCTGTTTTCATCAGACTTCACCTGGAATTCCATGTCCATTTCTGGACACTACAATATTGATAAGCAGGAATATGTCCAGAGAATGGAGACCAAAACGCCCTATGAGAGCAGCTTCGGGACCTGGGTATATTTATCCTGGAGAAAAGATGGATGAGAGATAACATGATAGCTATTGTTTAAATAATTGAAAGGCTGTCATATTGAAGATAGAGAAGCTTGTTTTCTGCTCCTCTAGAGCAGGGGTCCTCAAACGTTTTAAACAGAGGGCCAGATCATAGTCCCTCAAACTCTTGGAGGGCCGGATTATAATTTGAAAAAAAAAAACATGAATGAATTCCTATGCACACTGCACATATCTTATTTGTAGTGCAAAAGACACTTAAAAACAACACAATAATTAAAATGAAGAACAATTCTAACAAACATAAACTTAGTAGTATTTCAATGGGATGTGTGGGCCTGCTTTTGGCTGATGAGATAGGATAGTTGTTGTTGTTGTGTGCTTTCAAGTCATTTCAGACTTAGGTTGACCCTTAGCGAGGGCCGGGTAAATGACCTTGGAGGTCTGCATCCGGCCCCTGGGCCTTAGTTTGAGGACCCCTGCTCTAGAGTAATGGATTCAAACTACACACAGAGATTCCACCTAAACATTATGAAGACATTCCTGATGATAACAGTCATTCAACAATGGAATATGCTTCCTCAGAATGTGATGGTGTTTCCTTCTCTGGATGTTTAAAAACAGAGACTGGATGACCATCTGTCAGGAGTGCTTTACTTGTGTATTCTTGTATGGCAAGGAATTTGACTGGATGACCTTTGTGGTCTCTTCCAATTCTATGATCTAGTTTGGAAAGTCATTTCTAAGGAATACATGAATTTCAGCTCTTTCTACAACACAGATTTCACAATAGTCAAACTGATTGGCAAAGAGCATTCTTTTTTGAATATTTTCACTCAGTTTTAGAATATTCATGAGAAACCTTCTCACATTAAAACTGGCATCATCAAGCTATAACTCTGTGAATTGTAAGTTCTAAACAAAGTGAATTTCGCAACTCATTTCAGACACATGGTTTAACCAGTTTCACAATCCAGCAAGGAAATTTATTAGCTTGATTTTCCTTGATTTTCATGCCAAGCTATCATGGCATAATTGAATTTTTTAAACTGAATTAATAAAGAAGTACTTGAAGCATGAGGCTAGAAGCATTCAGCCTGAACCATGTACTTGGAAATAAGCATTGCTGTTTTTCAGTTTAATCTACTAATTAAATACCAAATTGAAAAGTGTGGTTGACGAAACACCCAGAAAGCAATTAATTAAAAATGAAAGCTGGCAGGTCCAAGGAAAGAACTTGCAATGCAAGGCAAGAAATTACTCTAAAATCAGAAATGCTAGGCAAGCAAGGAAGCAAGGGCACCAGCAACACATCATCAATTTCCTTCATGGACAAGTCTCCCCACTGTTCTTCAATTACATGGTACCTCATCTGCAAAAAGATTATGCTATTATTTTGTTCTTCCTCTCTGATATTTTTGTACAGTAATGGAAAAAGAAGAGAGTGCTGGAAAAATATGGTATCATCTGACACCCCACCCACAAACTGCTTTGATTGTATATTCCTGAATGGCAATGGGATTGGACTAGATAGACCATGCGGTCTCTTCCAGCTTTATATTTCAATGATTCTATGAAAAAAAAAAATCATACCTCCATTGTGAATTATAAACCTTATGGCCCTGTTTTTTTCTTAAGTTTTGCACATTGTAAATGCCTGCTTTACTGATAATTACCTTCCTAACTACTCAAAAGCACCATATAATTAATTGTACTGGGATTTTATGGGCTCAGCAAAAGCATGTGCAGCCTCTCAGCTCTACATAGCTTTCAAGGTTCAACAGCTGTGTGATTGAATGGAAACAAGCGAATCAGAGAAGGCTATCTGTGGGGGTATGTAAAAAAACACATGCTAATTTTGTCCACCCGAAGTAAAAATTGATTAAAGAGGTTTTATTTATTGATTCATTCATTTCTGGGTACCACAATTCAAGAAGGATATTGACAAGTTAGAAGGTGTCTAAAGAAGGGTGGCAAAATTTGATTAAAGGTTTGGAAGCCAAGCACTATGAGGAAAGGCTTAGGGAGCTGGGTATGTTGAGTTTGGAGAAAAGAGAGTAAGAGGGGACATGATAGCTATGTTGAAATATTTGAAAGGATGTCACATTGAGGAGAGGGCTTTTTTCTGCTGCTCTGGAGATTAGGACACAGGGCAATGGATTCAAATTGCAGGAAAAAAGATGCCACCTAAAGATTAGGAAGAACTTCCTGATGGCAAGAGCTGTTCAGCAGTGCAATATACTTCCTCAGAGCATGATGAAGTTTCCTTCTCTGGACGTTTCTAAACAGAGACTCAATGATAATCTGTCAGAAGTGCTTTGATCATATTTTCCTGCATGACAGGGGACTGGACTACGTGGCTCTGTGCATAATGAGTACCTTAAAAACAAAACAAACCACTGGGCCAAATGACCCCGAATTTGGCAACAAAACTCCTCACAATCCAAGGAGTGACCATTACTGAAAAACTCCCACAAAAACACATTTAAATTCAAAAAATGAAGAAGACAACACACCTCTCCCCCCACTCACGCTGAGGACACAGAATGAGGGTTCCGAAGCAGCAGGGGCAGCAATGGTTTCTGCTCCCTGCGTGTCTCTCAGCCCCTAACTAACACTAAGGCAAGGGATCAAAGGACAGAGGCTGAGGAGAAGGAGGAGGGGGAGGAAAGAGAGGAGGGGGAGGAAAAAAGAGGGAGTCGGGCCACACTCTGTGCACACACTCCCACTCTCTGTCTCCCACACACACACTCCCACAGCACAAAGGAGGGASGAAGGTGCTATGATGGGGGTAATAAGGACACACGAAACTGACATTGTTTGGAAAGAAGCTCCAAAGACCATCCAACCCAACCTCATTTGGCAGTAAAGGAAGACACCATCAAAGCCCTCACAACAGATGGCCAACCAGTTGGAAGGGAGCCCTAAAGGCCATCCGGTCCAATCCCCCCCTTCCCTCCCTTTCTCTACTTCCCTTCCTTCTCCTTCCCTCCATTCCCTTCCCTTCCTCCCTTTCTTTCCTTCCTTTTTCTCCTCCCCTCACCAGCTACATCCTCCTTTATTAAATCTATAGTGTAGATGCACCCAAAGTCAAACCTTCCACACTGCCATGTAAAATCCAAATTATCTACTTAGGACTGGATTATATGGCAGTGTAGACACACGCATGCACACACACACAGATGGATGTTGGATCACTGGTTGGTGTGAGAGATATATATATATATATATATATATATATATATATATATATMTCACAATAATAATATATATATCTTTATATATTATTATATATATTGCTATATAATATATATTATATATATTATTGTTATATATACTACAATATAATATAATGTTACTACTATATATTACTATA